AGATCCCTTCTTTCACTTAACCTCCTGGGAGGCTCACCGAAAGCATTAATGCCCCATTGATTAGAGACCATCTGAGCTGCAGCATGCGTGTATTTCTAGTCAGCTCATAGGCATTTATTCTCATGCCAAAAGAAGCCTTCAGCTTCTTCATCTCCTTCACCTTCCACAGCATCTCATCCATCAGTGCTTCATATGCTGACATCTGTACAACTCCTCTTCACATGATTCTCTCACCAGAAGCAGTCACCTTTGGACTAGTACAGCCAGATCTTTGCCATCTAACGAGCTCCCACTTTCTGTCTTTCAGTCTCTGGGTGATTTCAAGGCATCTACCTGCAAGGGCCTGGACTGCAAGGAGATGCATTTCAGAGCTGCTGTTCCATTATTTCACCTATGATGAAGTCAGGAGTTTACAGGAACAGATTAAGAACGGGCATGCTTGTTTTGACAAGTTGAGGCTTGAAAATGTGAGTGGAGGGCAATGGCAAAGAAAAAAAAAAAAAATCCCTGATATTTACCAGAAGCTTACTGAGAAAACATTCAAGTTTTCTGGCTATATTTAAAACTTCACCCTTCAGTTTCACAAGAATTAACAGAAGAATTAAGTCATCTGTTTACTGCATTTGCTTATGTTGCCCTTTTCTTGGGGGGGTGAGGGGGAGGGGAGGCAGAAATCCAGACTTTGGCACATCTCTGTTCCTCTCCCCTGATATTCCCTGGCACACCAGACGTGATCATAAAAGACTCCAACAAACTGCTTGAGCATTTTCAGTTACTAAATCGGCATTACCAGCCCTCACTCCATCTGCCCTCTCACATCCCAGGTGAAGCTATCCCTTGTATAAGCACCACCTACTGAATGAGCAGAGCTCACACAACTGACATGTTTTCATAAGGTTGGGAGACTCCTCCAGCCACTCACTTTCCTGTGGATCCCCAGCAAGGATGGTCTGCTGAGACTACAGGAATGAGAGAAAAAACAAACCAACCAAGCCACAGCTTCACATCAGTAGAACCCAAGGTTTATTCTGCAGCAGGTAGTTTGGTGAAGACATTTCGTTGCATCTGCCACTGGCGGTCTCCTCCAGACTCCAACAATTGCAGCCTTTCTGGTCAGTGGAAAGCCCCTTACTTCACAGGAGCAAGGGGATAAGAAGTCAGCTGTCCCATACAGTCATGGTCCTGAGACGACTGCAATGGTCAGCTTGCGTCTTGCCAGCATCGATGTATTTGTGAAGAAATTAAAGCAGCTTGAGAAACCGACTGCATGGCCACTTACCCATCTGTGGAAGTCACAGCTTGGCTCAGCATGCTGAGGAGACCTAAGTAACGCTGGCAAGCAGAAACAGTGGCCAAAACCAGCAAACCAAAATGGCATTAGCGTCGGAGAGAAACCAATGGTTAACACCTGCTGCTTTAAGTGAGACCTGTAAGCAAGCGAGGTTCCAGTGAACAGCTTTTCAAAAGCACATATGGGATTTAACCAAGTCCTACAGCAAGGACAGGAAGCCATTCATTTTGGATGTTTCCAGCATGAACACCTGTTCGTATCTCCTCCACCATCAGACAAAAAAGGCATTTTCAGTGAAGCCAGAAATAAGACAAAAATAAACAGTGAATTCTCCCCTCCTCATGCCTAGCAGGACTGGGGAAAGCTGCTTTCGTCATTCAGCAGAGGCAGCTGCTGAAGGAAGGCAGAGGGCCGTCCGGGGCGGAAGGAGTAGTATTGCCAACATCAGCAACAGAAACATAAGAACAGCTTCAGCATCTCATCCCCTGCCTGCTGGCGAAGCAGCTGCCCTTCTGCCAAGGCACAAGGGAAAGTGAGCCATCATAGAAGTAATTGAAACAGAGGTGAACACTCTGGATAGATTTCCTCAAAGAGTCTCATTAGCAGAGCAACTAGAGCCTGATCTCCTCCCTCTTTACTATAAAAACATGAAACCATATTCTTTATTAAACTCTACTTACAAGTGATTTCAGAGAGACTGGGAGAAGGGCACACTTAATAACAGAACATGACTGGAAGGGCTAGACCTGATTTAAAAAGTCAATAAAGCGTGTGTTTTCATTTAAGAAACAAAACTTAGTCATGGTTTTAATAAAAATCCGACCCTTATTTGTTTTGGAGGAGGAGAAGGGAGGTCAGTGTGCTGCTCCCCTTGCCTCCCCAATTTTGAATCCATCTCATTGCTCCTGGCAACAACAAATAAAATTCAGCTCATCCCTAGGAGAGATTTGCTCCTAAAGCAAATGGGAAACACAGGCACGTGCTGGGTGGAGAGAGGAAAACCACTTGGAGATTCTTGCATTGCTTCAAAGATTAATCTAACATTTTAATTTTAGACCAGAAGCAGCACAGCAAGACAGGGATTTTGTTTTTAAAGGGCAATTAGAGCCTTCCTCCTCCATTTGTTCTTTCTTTAGAAGAAAAGTTTCTATTGTCTTGACATTTTGGAAAGGAAGAGCCCCACTGTGATTGTTTTACAGCAGTTATGAAATGCAGCAGCCACACACAATATGCAGCCCTAGGTTTGTGTTTTTGGTTCCCTTTTAGGTGCCCAGCCTGGGCTGTGCAGGCATGAAATCATTTGACCGACAGCTCAGCTACTGTTCACTTATCTAAGGAGAAAATCACTGATGACTGCAAACCAAGATAAACACTCTGATGTGCACAATGGAAGAACTTTGAAAACAATATGCTCTTTTAAAGAGAGCCCACACATTAAGGACCCATTGCTTTTCCACCTTAGTCACTGCCTCTACTATAGTCTTATCTTAGTAATCAGCCTGTTTGAGCTCATTTTACTCCTATGGAGGATATAAAAATATTTGGTTTACAGAGCATACACAGACTAAGAACAAGTTACCCTGGAAAGCATGCTGCCAGATTGATAGTCTGAAAACACCAGGACAAACGACCATTACCTACTCTACTGAAATGGCATCTGAAGAGTCATCCTGAAAGTCCTTTAATCTCTTATCTTGAGAATACTTGCCAGTACCAAATGAATTGCAGTCGTGTTGCCTGCTAGCTAAGGTCAAGAGTTCTGCAACATGTTGCTGTACGATTTTATCAGGCATGAGAAATGCAGAACTCCTCACATGTGCCAGCAGCCACACCACAACACTTGCACTGAAAACTGGCATATACCAAGTGAGTGAATGAGGAAGATGAATTTTCTAACTGTAAGCAGTTCCTTGGGGACATCTCAGATTCCTGAAAATCTTGCTGTCCATGAGATGCTTGATTTTTATGCAGCAAGACTGCAACTTTACTTCAGAGTTTGAACATGGAAATTTTGGGCAGCCCCAGACAAGACACACCAGGACAGAAATCCACTGCATTTTTAAAGGCAGGGTCCTTATTTATCCCATACAGCAAGTCATTAAAAACAAAACCAAGAATCCCCAGGATTTTAGCCTCAGTTTAGGGGAAAAAAAAAAAAAAAAAAAAAAAAAGTATTTGATTCCAGATTTCCCACAGTGATTAACATGGTTAAAAAAAGTTTCCCGGTAAGACACAAGAGCTGTACTTATCCAATCAATTTCACGCCATGACACTAAGACGCCTTCCTGCCAACAGCTGGCTCTTAGTAATCCTTCCATTCAACCTGCTGAAACACGATTTTGCACCCAAGGCCACATGCAAAAGCGTTTGGGTCAGGAGCAGAAAGAGAGATGCTGTTATGCAGGATGAGCCCCACACCTTTCCTTTCTATCCCCATAAATGAACACAATGTTAGATGCCAGATCCCACACGCCCTGAGATGGAGAAGACAGCCAGGAAATGTTTCTTTAAAAGCGGGGGTTGAAGCATATGCTATAAATTAGGTACAGCCCAGTGCAGGTGGCCACAAGGTTATAATGTAAAGCAACCTTAATTTCAGATTGAATTAATCCTAAACCCAGAGATTCACAGTATGTTGTTGAGGTCTCTCCTGCTTACTAATTAAAAGAGACTAAGCAGTCAAGAATCTGCTGTGAATTTCTTATGTCTTATGATTGCCAACTTAGATAGAAATATCAAGGAGGTGAACAACAGCTTCCAACATAAGTGAACTCCAGCAGAGGACATTTTAAGAAGTTAACAGAAACTGAGCTAGACAACAGAAAGTCTAAACCCAAGCAGGTTCAAGGCACTCCAGCCCTTTCCTGCTATAACATGCCATGTTTAAATGGAATCAAGTTTTTATGCCTCAATCCAGGGAGGATTTCCTTTTCTAGGACAGAGTAGCATACTATTTCCTTCCCTCAAATAAAGGCAGCAAAACTAGGTCTTCTGAACTTAACTTGATCCAGCAATGCTGTCACTGAGTGCTGATCGAACAAGAAGGGAGAAATTAAAAAAAAAAAGTAACATAATAGTTCACTCGGGCACTACCTTTACACTAAGACTCAGGAAATGGATGGCAGAAGTTTTATTGTAACTAGAGGGGGAGCATTTTTCTTTAATAATCTCCACAACCAAAGTTACTCAGGTGTGTCTCCAGCAGACCTAGTCTCAGACACACTGCATAGTCAAAAGATGAAGTCATCATCAGTGCAAAAACCAGTCTAGCTACCAAAGACAGAGGCTTTTCTCACACTCAGCTACTTCATAGCAAACATCTGGTGTACCTGAACAGAGCAGAGCATGGCCAACAACCACTGCAAGTAGCAAGCTCCCCAAGAAGAGGCAAAATAAAGAGTGCAAGCTACAAATTCAGTAAAGGAGAGCCCTGTAAAAGACCAAGTTGCTGGGCTGTGCAACTGCATCATGCCACCGACACCCCAGAGGGTTTATGGAACACTGACACATGTCTGCCTTAGAGCTTCAAAACATGACGACCAGTGAACCTTTAATGCATCGCTCTCTCCTGTATCAGAATGCATCCCAACCACAGGCACAGAGCAATTAATGGCTGGTTAATGGTCAGAATTGTTTCCTGAGCTGGCCAAAGCCAAACACACAGTATGATGAGTTTATGTGAGGAGTGTGTCATTTAGGACACAGCATCTTTAATTCGGATTAGGTTTTATTTACTGACTATTCACATCAGTCAATAATGCTTCCTCCTCTCCCATCTTAGGCAATTTCAAATGTGTGTGTGGAGGTGGCGGTGTGACAGAAGAAGAAGGAATTTGCTCTTCTTTCTTCCATTCTCCTAAAAAAAAAAAAAAAGACTTGCAGCTTTGGAGTTTCAGTTTTAACTGTAAGCAAGTAGTTATGCTGAGGGTATTAGGAATTGCGGCAGTGAGATCATAATCCAAGCACAACGGCATTGCACAAGTTTACTTGCATTTTCCAACCTGCCAGTCATTTGTTACATGAGGCAAATAGTAGACTGGAACTTGAGAGGGCCAGAATAAAACACCTCTTTAGATCAAGCATGTATGAAAACAGTCATCCAGACACACAGAGGGCAAAGGGGTCCATCTCCAAGATCACGGCAGACTGCTGCATAGGTTCTCTAGCATATATCTAAACTACATTGTTTTGGAACAAAAACTACCAGTGGGATTGAGGAGGCAACAGAGAAGCTGACCTGTTATTTGCTCCACCTGCTCATACACAGGTAGGAAATCTGATCACCCAGAAAATGGCTGCAGGCAAATTGTAGCACACTCAGGACATACAGCACTAATTCCTCCTGCACCTAGCTGACATAAAATAAGCAGTGCCCAGCAGGAAGCCTAGTACTTCACTTCTAATGGGTCCAGTCTTTCTCATGCTGCCCTTTCCTACCCTGTTCTAGAGAAAAGCATGCCTCTTCTTCCCCCCCTTTATGTTTGACTGTCTCTTAATCATCTTCTTAACCATTTAAATCTGGGCAAAATGATACTGCAACAAAAACATACACTTACAGTGAAAAGTACGCATGCATTTCTAAACAGTTCTGCAGGAGCACACAGCACCAGAAGAGAATTCTTACCACATAGTAGGATTTTGTACAGGAGTACCACTTGTACAGGAGTTTGATATGCAGGGGCTGAGAAAACGCCTCAAGAGACCATGTAGTAGAATTCTCTACAGCCAGACAAAAATCAATTATCTCCCAGTAAGGGAAAGCAGCAAGATGATGAGAAAAGGGCTCGGGGAAACTTTCAATGACAGTGTGAAAGGTAGCTATAAGGAAAAACAAAAACAAACAAAAAAACCCCAAAACAAACAAACAAACAAGCAAAAAAAAAAAAAAAAAAACAACAACAAACTCACTGAAGGGGAATGTAAACATCTGCCACACATCTCCACTGGTACATGGGGGTCTGCAGCCACAGAAGGCTGAGATTCACCTTTTCCAGCCTTCCATCTAGGCAGTTTGTCCTTACCACCACACTAAAGCTAGCTCTGCATGATCAAGTAGTTTGGCTCACTTTAAACAATCTATGCAACAATGATACAGAAGGTCCCAACATCCATCTTAAAGGCTTACAAGGCTTTTACTTCAGACCAGGTCTCCTGCCACTGACCAAACACCCAGCACATCAGGTGAGCTGGGTGGGCTTTGGGCATGCAGCCTCTGGTTTTGTTTTAGGTAGAAGGAACCCAGCTTGCACACCCTGACTCTGCTTTGCAATGCCAGCCAGCACACAGGGTAGGGAGTGGGAAAATCAAGAGGTTTACTGCAGAAGTGCCCTCCTGATCCAAATCAAAACATAAAAGTCAGGCATACCTATCCTTCCAATGCCTTTATACCACACCAGTGTCAGACCTATTTTCTCCTTCCTCAATTCATCTGTGTAATTTGGGGAAAAGCAGAAGGAAAAGTTTCGTAAGCCTCTTTACCTTCCTGCTGCTCACCTCTGGACCTTTCTTTCCTAAGATGAAGGGTTAACAGTAAAAAAAGGTCATGGCACATTAAACAGAGGCTCCTCCTGTGCCAAATTGCTTCTCAGATACTAGGATGCTAGTTTTGTTGAAGAATGCATCCCACCACATTGTCTTTGCAGCATGTTGTTCTGTGGTGTTCTTTAGTCTGCGTTGACAACACTGAATGCAAACCATTGACTTGAAGAGCAGCTTTTACAGCTACCTTTGAAATGGCCTGCCCCACTTGCAGCACTGCTTACAAAGTGTCCCAAGCCTGGCAGTGGTGAGGGAGGAGGATGGCACTGCAGAGATGCCCATCACACGGGCTAGATGCTGGGCTGCCGCTGGAGCAGAGAAAGAGCCAGTAGCTGGGAAGCAGCAGCCACAGCAAGGACACTGGCACAGAGGGTCCAGCTGAGACTGCTTCCTGGTGGAGCAGGAAAGGTGGAGCAGCCACTCCACTAACTCAAGAGCTCCCCAGCTGAGGAACCTCCACCCCCAAACGGGCATTACCACCACCTTGCACCAGGCTTCTGGGACATTGCTGTGCAGGGCCACAGGACAAGAAAAGCTGGATGCTTTGCTAGGCTGCAGAGTCTGGAAGCACAATTTGGTCCTATATAATAAACTCTCTTTTAAAAAGAGATTGTAACTTGTGGGAAGCTTTGGCAGAGAACGTAAATTCCTCCCCCCCCCTTTTATAAGCCTCGAAGAGCTTGAAGCAATAGTCAAAACACTCCCAAGACTTTCAGTTGCTGTCTCAGCTTAATACAGGACCATATACTTTTTCTCCTCCCACATGCATGTCCTCCCCAGTTTTCCAAAGACCCACCTTTGCCAGCATGAAGACAGGCGTAAGTTACACTTCTGGCAGCAGGGGAAACGGGCTGCACAAACTACACAGCGGATCTGCAGCAACTCCTCACAGCACGAAAGAGCGCTTGGAAAAGGGGAGAGGAAGGCACAAGGGGAACAGTGTTCTCTGCTCCAGATTGAAGATACTGAGTGGGAGTGTTTTTGTTCATTTCAAGGGCAAAAAACAATAAATTCTTATTAGCATGCATACTATAATTCAGGGTCTTACAAGCCTCAGTGCAATAGCAATGTGAAGGACATTTGCCAAGCAAAGAACTGCTGTACTGCAGAAAACTGGGTATAAAGTGGAAAAACTTCAGCAAATAAGTTTTCCTCCTCTTCGGAAGGAGTTTTACCTCAACACACTGGCATTTCATTTCCTCCCTCCATCATCCCAGTCACTGATGCTCTCAAGGCTGATGGCAATTGCCTGCATCATTCTCCCCAGCTGGTTCAGGAGGCAACAACCAGGGTAACTCAAGTGCACACAAAGCGGGGGGGATTGAAGTCAAGCTAGGAAAACAGGGTGAGTAGCAAAGCCAGAACCCTATGCTTTCGGGAGGATTTGCTCCTCTGCCCTCAAACAGCTGCCTCCTCCTGTGTCACTCCTCAGACCCACTCAGTTTTCAAGGAGGCCACCTTTCCTTTTAGTCCCCATGGCTGTGAGTCATCATTGTAGGACTGAGGTTAGCCTCTGGAAACTACCAATTTTTTTCCTTCCTGTTATGCTTGGTGATAGAGCCCATAAAGTTTTAAAGAAAAATCTGACCCAGGAAGGCATGCATTTGTTCACTGTCGCACAGCGACCCTTTTTGGTGCAGATACCTGTATTAACAATGCTAAAGAACTGTTCACACCATATATGCTAAAAAAAATTAGATGTAGTAGAGCAAATACCTGTTTATAGTATAGCAAATATCTGGTGCTAGCCACACGTTATAATTCCCTAATTCCTCAACTCCACTTCCTCACCCAAAAAGAAGGCCTATCACAGGGTGGAAAAAAAAACCCAAACAAAACAAAACCCCAAACAAAAACAAACACAAAAAAACCCACAAAAAAAATAAACCAACCAAACAAAAAAAGATATGTAGTTCTGTTAGTTTATCCCTGGAGTGCCAAGGCCAAGGGGCACTGCTCTCCTGTCCATGGCAGACAACTGCTCTCCCAGCCTGCTCTGTACACTGGGCACAGGAATCTGAGCTTGGCACCACGCTAACCCAACTATGTGGCTTCTGGAGCAAAACCAGTTCATACACAGCCAAGAGAGCACAGAATTAGCCATAATGCAACTGCCTGTACCACTCTGTGTGCAACTAGGCCCTTAGATATTCATTCTGCTTGTGTTTTCAGGTCAAAGCTTTTTTCCTTCGTAACTATGAAAACTAGATGACTTGCAGAAGTGCCTCAGAAGCTGACCACAGGCTCTAGAAAGAAGGGCTTTGCAAATAAACACCCAGCATTGCCAGAGCTAAATAAAGCAGCTGAAGTTTACCTAACTAGGAGTATGTTAACTATAACATACTTTCTTGGGAATCACTGTTTCATTCTTTGAAGCTATGAGCAACAGCATGCGCCACAGTACTGTCTCCTCAGGCTGGATATAGGATATATCCTCTGCTACTTTAATTTTCTAGTCCTTGAGTTTTTCCTTGAAAGTCTCCACCCCCAACACTACATTCCCATCTATCCACCCTCAAGCACTTGGACTAAATTAAGCCAAAAATCAAAGCCAGCTGATTATTTATTAAACAAACGGGATACATTTTGTCTTTGGTAGAATCGAGCACTCCTGGTAGCTGTAGACTTCAAACTTTACTTTGGGGGGGGGGGGAGGGGGGGAAGGAAGGAAGCAGTGTTTCACTTTAGGAAAGCACACTGAAAAGTCGTTATTTTACTTAAAAGCCATCTGCCTATAAAATGAAACTGTACATGCATGTAAGACTTAATAAGCTATAAACAAGCATCAATAGCAACACTCATATTTCAGTGATAATAGCTGGCTTTGATCACGTTTCTTTAGACTGCCCTCCCCTTCAAACCGTTTTCAACTCTCTCAACTCCTGTCAAGCCCATCTCTCACATCTGCCGATTAAAGGAAGAAGCAGAAATTGGAATTAATGGGGGTGCAGGGAAGGAGCTAGTGTGCTTTGTTTCTGTGCCAAAAGCTTCACCAGGATGCAGAGAGGTCCCTAACAAACAGAGGCCAGCAACACATGCAAATGAAAAATAGCCAGTTATGTACGCAGAAAGGCATTCCTAAATTTTTCCAGAGAAATTCTGAATACTTTGTTTCCTGTGAGAAAATGAGCATTTGACTAGAGATCTCCTAATCAGGAAACAGACATGTCAGGTATTTCTAGAATGCTAATGAATGTACAGAACAGAGCAGGGATTATCTGCTGCCTGTCTCAGCTGACACTAGGGACTCTCAGCATCTGAACTCCCTCCTGCTTTCATTCAAGTCACAGTTTGCAGAAAGATCTTTTGCATGAAAACAAAATAATACAAAAAGTCAGCTCCCAAATGGATACCGAGCACTGCATGTGGAGCTGCAGGAAGACAGAGCTTAGAAGCCACTTGCATCGGGGATTGTTTTCTTCTTCTGGTTGGGGAAAAAAGAGAAAACATATCCAAGACAAGAATGTGCAATAAAATCTGATTAAGGAACGTTAGTCACTCCTGGCTTCCCCTCAAAACAGAAGTCAAAGACTTTCCGCCATTCATTCACAAGATGTCTAAACAGTGAGTCTTGTTGAAAGAATGGGGGGGGGGGGAGGGGGGGAAGGGGGGGGGGGGGGAGAGAAAAGTGAAAAGAGAAAAAAGAAGGTTGCTTTTCTCAACCTACTAATAAACTCCCAAAAGTGCTTTTCCTTCATCCATGTGCTAAAAACCAAAGCAATCCCTGCAGCATCAGCAGGCGTTGTGGTCAAGGCTGGGTCCCAGCCAGCCAAGAGTGCAAATACAGTATTAAATGCATTCATACTTTCCCACTGAGACAAAGCCTGAAAAGCCTAACCACTGCTCCATCCTCTGTGCTGCCTCTTCCCAGTTAAGCCTCCTGATATTGCTCCTAAATAAAAATGTCCCTGACTCCTTCCATCCGTGTTTACCCAAGGAAGAGGCTGAGGGTCATGGGCTGGAACAGCTAAGAAGAGCAGGCACATTGCTGCAAACGTGTCCACTCTTCGGATTTGGCTTAGGTACTCAGTGGCTTTGCTGTTGCGATTTGGCATCCATTTACACAGACACCAGTGTGGTTCTCAGAGAAAAGAGGATTGTAATTGAAACCACCGAAAATAACCATTGGCATACGACAGTTGTTATTGAGCACAGACCCCCTTCAGCAGTTTTCATGGTCATGATTCAGCAGACACAGTGGCTACAATCCAAAAGAAGTTCTTTTTCTCCTTTTTTCTGCAAAAGGACCATGGAGCTGCACAGAGCAGCCTAGGAGAGGACCTCATGCCCTACGTTTAACTCACCACCATGCTGCATCCCCACCACAGGAGAAAATAGACTAATGCAGACAGAGAATTGTGCTAAGCCTTCACAAAGCCTCTGCGAGGGAGCCCGTTCCCCACAAGCAAAATGGACCTGGGCTGCTATTCCCAGAGGCTGATGAGTCAAGTAACTTCATTATGAAATGCTTGCTTAAGACCAGAGTTGTTATTTAAGGAGCCGGTATCTCACCTGCCTCACAAAGATAATACAGGTACACAAGACAACACACCCAGAAAGTAGTTCCTCTCTTTACCTACATAAGTGATGTGCTCTGAAGCAGCTTTTCTCTGTTTTAAACACGTCATGCTAGCACAGGAGTTGTTTACTCAACTTCTGCTGAGATAATAAATCTGGACATATAACACCTCCCAGCAGTTGCAGAAGCTAGCAAATGTACAAAAAAGCTGTTGGTTTTGGGGTTTATGTATGTTTGTTGGTTTTTTTTAAGTGAATTAAGATAATTTAAAATGAAAATTCTTCATCTCAAAATGGGCCTGGCTGAAAAGGTTACTGAATGGCTATATGAGGTGACGTTTCCCTCCAATTTTTGCCACCCAAGAGAGCAGCAGAAAGTAACATATGCCTTAGACTTCTTGTAAATATGTCTCTCTCAAAAAAAAGGAAAGGTTATAAGCCACAGAGTTTCAAAACAGGCAAAATAAAACTCCATTCCTTCCTACAAATCTGTGCTTAAAACTTCAGGCACAAGGTACCATATTTTGCATTTCCAGAGGGACGCACACAGAGATGACCATGAGGAAGATGGCCATGGTTTTAGACTTCTGTTTAAGCACCTTCTTTTGCTTTGAAAACAGACAAGCACACTGTGTCTGAAGAGAAGCTATTTACCAGTTCCCAATTTACACATCCATTGGGCAAGTGAGTTCCCACAGACATGAGGGGTTTTGTCTCACACTGGTCATACCAGATCCTCTGAGCTGTCAGACAACCACCTGCATATATGAGGACTCAGAATCTTCCAAACTAATTTGGAGGAACAACTCTTCTCCTTGGAGTCTTTACATGGTTTCAGTTGAACCTGGCACCTCAGTTTTGAATCTCATCTTCCTCCAAGGGTCCTGTGCTGCTACCTGTTCAGATTGTTACTGGTCATTGTTCCCTTGGGAGGACCAGGAATCAGGGTACAAATAATAAGCAGCGGAGCGGAGCATCTGTCTTTCCATGCACCAGCATGATACAGAGAGAGAAAAAAACAGACAGGAAACAACTTTTTTTAAAAAAATGGTGGAACTGTGCATTTGACATGTTTGTTTTAAATCAAAATAAGCCACTCAGAAATGTATACATGTGTTCTGAGCACATTATTCATTGTAACTATTTTAAAGCCATTAGCTGTCAACTGTTTCCCAGCTGATGTAGATTCCCAGTTGAAGGTGCACTAGACATCTAGACAACACACCCAAACTCTTCAGTTCTTTCTTTCCTCATTTTATCATTAAAAATAACTATGTGGCATGGGATCTAAGTGTCTTAAAAACACTTGATGATTTTTTTCATCAAGAAAAGCTTATCAGGCCAGTGCAAAAGCTGTTCACCCAGCTTTTAGAGGGAT